TGCTCTCTCAACAAGCTGCTGCCGGAGATCGTATGAAAGAGAGATGTGCCGCACGCGCGTGGGCCACATCTCAGTCAGCTCAGCGCTTCCTCTACCTTGGGTTTTTGCAAGTGTCCTGGAACCTGCTCTTGGCGGGTGAAAAAGAAGGCTTCAGGTCACTTGGCTACAGCGCTTCCGCAATTGTTCTCTCTTTTTTGCATCGCTTCAAAGAACGTCAAACGCTGGCCGGAGCCAGCGTGCTGATTCAGTGTGTGTCAGCCGCGCCTGAAACCTTGCTGTGAACGCTGCTGGGTGGGATGTTCAAGTTGTGCTCACGCAGCGGACGGCCCGGCGCGCCGTGCCACGCATCTGAGAGCTTGCCGGGTCACGGCGCGCCAGTTCACAAGGCCCAGCACGCCATTTCACAAGGCCCGGCGTAGGCCCCGGCGCGCCGGTTCACAAGGCCCGGCGCGCCGGTTCAGAAGGCCCAGCGCGCCATTTCACAAGGCCCGGCGTAGGGCCCGGCGCGCCGGTTCACAAGGCCCAGCGCGCCATTTCACAAGGCCCAGCGTAGGGCCCGGCGCGCCGGTTCACAAGGCCCAGCGCGCCATTTCACAAGGCCCCGCGCAGTTGTGTGTGTGCTGGGTGACAAGGTTGAGCGTGCCGGGTCAGAATGCCCGGCGAAGGAGGCAGTGTGCCGGGTGACTCGATTGTCTGCGTTGCAGGTCACAGGGCTTTGAAAAAATAAAATGGCCCCCCCCTACGTCGATTGAAAATTAAAATTCCCCCCCCTACGTCCCTTGCACTACGGTAGGGGGGATGCAAGAATATGGATCTGGAATTTTCCCCCCTGGAAGTAACTATTTGGAAAACATGAATGTGGAACTCTGGACCTCCCCAAAAGCACCCTACCCTTTGGGAATGAGAATGATACATAGAGCAATTATCAGAAGGTGGAAAGCTATGAACCTGGAATTCCCCAAAAGGCACTCTTGGAATAAGTAGAAACAAAAATAGCTATGATGAGTATGCTAATTTGCGAAACATTAATCTTCAACTCCACAAAGGCTCCCGTCCCTTTAAGAACGACTGCTCTTTGGGAAGAATGATTATAACAAAGTTGATAAGTAGAATCGCTAGACTAGAAACCCCGTTTGGAATAATTGAAATAATTTGGGCACGCCCAAGAACAGAACATATTGCAAGTAGAATAGCTAGAGAAACAATGAATCTGAAATTTTCTAAATTTGGAGAATAAAGAATTGGAAAAAGCAATTCTTGAATCCCCCACAAGCACCCATCCCTTCAGGAATAACAATAAAAAAATAAAGCAGTTATCAGAAGTAGAATCATTAAAAACATAAAACATGATTCTGGAACTCAACACAAGGCACCTGCCCCTCTCGGAACAAGAAGAATAATTATAATTGCTACGATGGGTAGAAAAACATCCCAAACATGAGTTTTCAATTTGGCAAGGGCACCCGTCCCTGTTGGAGTAATTAGAAAATTAGAGCAGTCAGAATAACTAGAACAATTGAACACGCATGAACCTGGAGATTCCCAGTAGGCACCTCTCCCTTTGAGAAGACTGATCATAAGAAGAAGAATAGTGTAGCAGAATGAATCTGGACATCCTCAAAAGGAACCCGCCCCGTTGGCGATACTTGGAAAATGCGGGTAGTTCCAAAACACCTGAAGTAGAATAAGAGAGAGACCATGAATCAGAATTTCCTCAAATTTGGGAATGACCAGTTGCAAAAACAAGAGCCTGGAATTCCCGTCGTTTTGGGAATGGGAAGAATTATGAGAACAATATCAGAAGTAGAACCAATAGGAAAAAAGCTATGAACCTGGAATTCCCCAAAAGGCGCCCGCCTCTCTTGGAAGAAGGAGAAATCATGGCGATGACAAGTAGGCTAATATGCAAAACACGGGGAACCCGCCCCCTTGGGAATAATAAGAAACAACAGAACATTTAGAATAACTGGAAAGATTAGAACAAACATGAATTTGGAGATTCCCTAAAAGCACCCGTCCCTTTGGGAAGAATGATTATAATAAGTTAATGAGTAGATTTGCTAGACTAGAAAATGAATCTGGAATTCCTCAAAAGGGACCCGTCCCGTTGGGAATAATTGAAATAACTTGGGTACGCCCAAGAACAGAACATATTGTACGTAGAATTGTTAGAGAAACAATGAATCTGAAATTTTCCAAATTTGGAGAATAAGGAATTGGAAACAGCAAGAATCTGGAACTTCCCACAAGCACCTGTCCCTTTGCGAATGTCAAGAATAATTGGAAGACCTAATAGGCACCCACCTCTTGTGTAGTACTTGTTGTACCTAGAACAACAAAGGTGCCCGTCCTTTTGTGAATAAGCAGAATATCTTGCAAAATTATAGAAGTAGAATAGTTAGAGCAAACACGAATTTGGAAGCAATAATAATGATAGTAGTTTCTACAAGACTGATGATAAGTAGACAATAGCGAACGTGAAAATTGAACTCACTAAACGGCACCTTCCTGTTTGGGACCAAATAGAAAATAGGGAAATAATCTAGAACTCACTAAATGGGAGCCGCTCATTTGGGAATTGTTCGAATAGTTTGAACAACGCGGGCCATCAATCTCGAAGCCACCAACAGGCCCCATCCCTTTTGAAACACTTATCCTACCCAGGGCAAACACGAGCTTGGAATTCCCCAAGACGCACCCCAGCTCCCCCTAGGGATTCAATCAGAATAATATAGAATGATTATGATAAGTAGAATAATTAGCAAACAGGGCTCTCGTCCCTTTGGGAAGAATGATGAGAATTAGCAGAGTTATGATAAGTAGAATAGTTAGAAAACATGAATCTGGAATTCATAAAAAGGCACCCCACTCTTTGGAAGAAGTTGAATACTTAGATTAGTTCATATAACTAGCACAAACATGAATCTGGAGTTCCCCCAAAGGCACCCGCCCCTTTCGCAATAAGTAGATAACTGAGAATAATTCTTATTTTGTCGGGAAACATATGCAAGAGTTAAAGCAGTTAGGACAAAGATGGATCTGGAATTCTCCAAAAGCAACCCGTCCCTTTGGGAAGAATTAGAATGATTAGAACAAGATATATAGTTATGACAAGTAGAATAGCTGGCAAACATGGATCTTGAATTCCACAAGAAGCACCCGCCCCTTTGGCAATGATTAGAATAATAAGTTGATTAGTTAGAGTACTGTAGTTGAAACACACATGAATCTGGAATTGGAATTTCCGAAAAGGCACCAGTCACCCGCTCCTTGGGAATAGCTGGAACAAAGGGAAAAATTAGGGGCGGATTCCCCACAACAGGCTCGAATAATCAGAACAGAATGACCTGGACACCACACTACACTGGACTTCCCCAAAATGGCTTGAAAGCAGCGAAAACCATTAGATTTGCTCAGGTTATTTGGAATGAGTAAAATAATTAGATCAACAATGAATGTTGATTTCCCCAAAAGGTACCCCCCTGTGGGAATACATCAGAGAATGATGATTGTTATGAGAAGTAGACAAACTCGAACACATTTAACCTAAAATGCACCCGCCTCTTTGGGAAAATCACGTAGACTGATTCGAAAACACATGAATCTGGAATTCGCCAAAGGGCACCCGTCCCTTGGTGAAAATATGTAATAATCAGAATAGCTGTAAGAATTAGGACAATGCATCTGGAATTCCCGAAAGCGCGCTAATAAATAGAACAAGTAGAAATTTCAATGAGTTAGAAGAAATTGTTTCGGAATTCCCCAACAGTCCCCTGCCCCTTTGGGAGTTTCTAGAAAGATTCGGAAAAAAGGGTGTTTTGCTTGTGTTTGTCTCCTTGGTGTGTGTGTGTTGCTTGTCACTCTGTTTGAGTGACCTTTGTGCTCTCAGCTTCTCTCTCTCTCTCTCTCTCTCTCTCTCTCTCTCTCTCTCTCTCTCTCTCTCTCTCTCTCTCTCTCTGTCTCTCTCTCTCTCTCTGCTTGTGTTTGCGTGCGTGCGTGCGTGCGTGCGTGCGTGCGTGCGTGCGTGCGTGCGTGCGTGCGTGCGAGCGTGCGAGCGTGCGAGCGTGCGTGCGCACGCGTGGGTGTGTGTGTGTGTGTGCGACGTGTGTGTGTGTGTATCATGAGTGAGGGAAACATCCCGGAACGCGTACCACTTTGAGGGAAACAATCATCCTGCGCGCGCACGCCGCATAGGACCTAATCTTCCCTGCCACCCCCCCCCCCCCGCAATAGTCTGAAACCGTGCCCCTAGAAAGGGGAGGGGTAACAGGTAAAGAGGTAAGGAGCATTTCTTATGTCCAACACGCCGCCTGTTGTCGGCGGATAGATAGAGAGACAACGGATGAGAGAGATACAGAGATTGTGGAAAATGGAGAAAAGAAAAAACCGGATATTGGCAGAGAGAAATGGATGGGTAGATAGAGGGGTACATCGATAGAGAGGTAGATAGTTAGATAGAGAGACAAAAAGGCGTAAACAGACACAGGGAAACTAGAAAGATTAATGGGTTGATAGATAGGTAGACAAAGAAAGGGGGATTGAGAGATAGAAAGGTAAAGATAGAGAGAGAAGAGAGACAGAAAGATAGATAAATAGATGGCTAGAGATAGACTAGGGGGAGCGAGAGAGAGAGAGAGAGAGAGAGAGAGAGAGAGAGAGAGAGAGAGAGATAGATGGACAGATTGCACTTCGCGTACTACACTTGCAAGGTTGCGACTTTGAGTTAGGCTTTTTGCAAGTTGCAGAAAGCAGTGTAGAATTATTAGGGGGGACAAACGATGGCGTCAAAGACACTCTTTTGATTTGAGTTTTACACACGGCCGTTGCATCCAGTAGTCACGCAGTCGCATCCAACAAAGGCTGGCCTTGACTGCCTGTTGAACCAAAACCAAGGAAATCAACCAACTGAATGCACTGAAATGAAACGAAGTGGAATGAATTGGAATGGAATCAATGCATGCGCGAATTGATATTCGGGCAGAGAACTCGGGCCCTTGGAGGAGAAAAAATGAAAAGAAGCCAAGTGGCCATAGAAGGGCAAGCCATCGCTGTGGAGCGCAACAAATGGCCAGATCTTAGATTTGGAGACCCGGATGGCAATGTTTTTGCCCCATATGAACAGCCGGCCAAGCCCTGCGGCCTGTCAGGTGCAGGACTTCCAGAATCAAGTGCAGTCTCTGCACGGCGCTTTGCAGATGACGGGTGGCGGCTTGTCGCACGCCCAGGCTCATCGGGACTCGGCTCCCCCCGCCCCCCGCCCCTGCCGGCCCGCCTGAAAAAGCCATCATGCTGCGCCAAGCAATTTAAGATGGTGTAATCAGTTTGTCGTTTCGCGTGCCAGGTGGTGGGGCGGCAAATCAACCACGAGGTGCGGCAGCTGCAGCAGCGCTTCACTCGGCAGGAGCGGTCCTTGGGCGTATACCGCAGGCACAGCACGGAGGTGCACCAAACGGCCAAGGGTTGGAAGCGCGGCACCAGAGAGGCGTTGCTAGCTTTGGATCACATTTGGTGGCGCCTACGCAGCCGACTGGACGCCTACCTGGATGTGGCGGAGTCGGAGGTGCAGCACTTCCAGGCATCCTTCCAGGCCCTGGGCAGCTACCAAGACTGCAAGGCGGGCTTCGAGGACCTGCTGCACAGCTACGGCGCCAGTGTGGCCAAGATGCACAAGAGCCACCGACTGCTGAAGTCCACGTGGCGCGAGGTGGCCAACCTCCTGGGCGAGTTGGCCGCTGTGATCCGTGACGGTGGCGTGTTCCACACCTTTGCCGCCGCGGAAGGCTGCAAGTCCCCACTGGCCAAGCAGACGCTGCAGCAAGCGCGCTTTGCGGTGCAGGGCGCCATTTTCTTGCTGCACCGCTTCCAGGCCCGGCTCTTCAAACAGTCGCCACGATTCGACACGTCAACGCAGGAGAGGTCACTGTAACATGTGGAGTTGCTTGTATTGTTATTAGTCATTTATTTGTGCTTGCAAGGCTGCCAGCTTGCCGCCTCCCGACGTCACAGTTTTGAAGGACTTCTCGGCACAGGTGAAGCGCTCGTACGAGGAAGCCCACAAGAAGTGCCAGAAGTAAATGGCTCGCCGGCTATATCGGTGAATAATTCGACTAAATTTCAATAGATGTGTACATTGAAATGTCCAGAAGCCTGGTCTGCGACGGCAATCTCGCAGTTTACAGCCCCGCGCTATATCGGTGCATAGTTCGACAAAGTTTCAATAAAATTGCAGCTTGGACAAGCGGGTCAGACGCAAAAGCATGCGAGGCGCACACATTTTCAGACTCGTGGATATAGGTGCGGCGCTGGCTTTGTTTTGTTCAACTTCGAAGTGAGACACCCAGAGCATTGTTTCCCTTCTGAACCTTAGTCGAGCAAAGCAGTTCTTGAATAATTATGTACTTACCTGGTACGTGTACCGCACACATTCGATCGCAGACACCCCTTGTATTTGTTCTCGCATTGAGCCCAACCCGTTCTGCGGAAACACCCTTTGGGACATACCTGTGTCCTTGGCAGGACACGCTCTGTGGAAAGCTGCTGTGCTCTTCGGAGAGCTGCGTGAAAAGAGCGCGTCGTGTGTTCATCCACGTTGCAGTGCACCGTTGGACGGGGCGCAGACTATGTCAAACTGAACGCCCCAGCGCCCGTCCGAGAAGTGTTCATACTTTGCGCGTTGAAACAAACACATAACGCCCTCTTTCTCGAGCAGGGGCGCATCTGCATCTCTTGTCCCTCCGAGCTTCACTCACTGACTCATTCCTTGCACTTCTCAGCAAATGAACAGAGGTGGATAGAATGGAGCAGGCCTTGCAGGGGAAAAGCACCTTGCCGACAAAACCAAGCACAAGATTGCATTGCCCGCTAGCGCTGTCCAGCCGGTGCTACTGTGCTAGACCCAATGATTGGCCATGGGAGCTGGGCATCACTTAGCTTCCCAACAGCGCAGGTGCAATGGACAGTGTAGCGATTTGGAGGTTATTCAAGGCATAGCACCCACTCACACAAGAGTTTATTGGGTTGGCATGCCCTGGCCATCATTGGTGTTCGCCATGTTTGAGCGCGGGATTGGCTTACAAGTTTGAGATTCCATGTGCTGTAGGCTGCTCCACAAACTCTCCGTGGTCAATTAGAATAGGAGTGGGCAGCTGATGCGCTCTTCGGGGAGCGTGCCAAAAGCGCATGAGTTGTTTCGTGTTGCGGTGCACCGGCCGCAGCACAGGGCGCTGATGTTTTGTTTTGGTAAACAGAGAATGTCCGAATTGATCCTCATTGATACTCTATGGATCCAAACAAATAGGACCCTCTTTGTCAATCAGTGCATGCCTTGCCCCGCGGAGCTAATTGCAGCACTCCTCACCTATTTCTTCTATTTCCCAGCAAATGCGCACTCAGCCCAAAGTCTCACAAGAGAAACATAGCTGCGGCTGCCCGGCTCAAGATGAATTGCACGCATGAAGACAAGACAGATGGATGCCGAGCTACGGACAGCACGCTAGCTCGACAAAGTCAGCGCAGGGTTTTGCTCGGGGTTGTGGCCCAAGTGACTTTGCCTCAAGTGCCCACCATATACCAGCCCTTGGGCACGCAAAGTCCCAACGATTGGCTACGGGAATCGGCCTCCCAACAGTGCACAGTGCAGGTGTGATGGGCAGAGTGCCGCAGTTTGTTTTCATTGAAGGCATAGATGCTGCAGGTTGCCCGTGTATTGCGGCATACGTGTTTGCTTTTTCATGCTTGCTGCTGCTCGCAGAAGCGTCCGCACCAAGCCAGTGAAGATTGTGCAAATAAGAACACACACACACTGTGGGCCCCAGCGAGCAGATACCGCTGGGTGTCACTTGCAGCACAGATGTGCACGGCCTTGTGGTATTCGCTGTTGAGCGCTGATCTTCGCCAGGAGAGCAGGAGAGCCAGTGCTTTGGAGGAGCCGCCTGTATTCTTTATTGGCTGCCAGTTGGCTGCAGTTTCGCTCATGTCCTGCTGAAGTTGTGCAGGCTGCTCATTGGGATTTCGGGAGCCACTACAAATTCACGATCCATGGTGGCATGTCGGAAGCTTGTAGAATAGATAGCACCTTCATACTGTTTGGACACTTGGTTGGACTACTCTCATTCGTGGCTGAAAGCCATTGGCTCAAGTTACGGTTCATGATCTCTGCCTGACAGAGGGCATCGACCGATTGCGCCATTACCGCTCATGCCCCTTTGGGGGCATCTCCTTTCAACCGCGGCTCTTTTTTGGTTGTCGTCAGGCAGCCACGCGGAGCCAAAGTGTGATGAGCCAGCCGAAGCCAGCAGCCCAGCATTGCTCCAGTCCAAGCGCTTTGCAGGGTCTGGGCGGATCCAGTTCTCCGATGGGCTGCTTGGCTGATCATAGCGCAGGGGTGCGGCAGGGTGACGTGTGTTTCAATGCTCTGAAGCTGCAAGGTTGACTGGGTCATACGATTCTGCGCCAAGCTTCGCATGGCTGCAGAACCAGTCCAAGACTCTGGCGCCTCAATGCCAGCGCCGAAAGCAGCCTCCCACGCCGCTGGCCGCCACGGAGAAGATCCAACACATCCGGAACGAGATGCTGGTGGCCAGGACTCTGAGTTGCGAGCGGGGCTGCGAGACCTTAGGGCCTCACAAGTTGGGCAACGATGTTTCACCTTCGCTCAACGCTTGCTCACGTCTTTTCATGCCGTTTCCTTTGTTTCTGGCCGTCCATTTGATAGCCAGTGTCCGCCGCTCGGAGACCCTATAGTTTTTTGAGCAGCAATGTATTCTCAACCATGGCAATTTGATTTCTGGGGCCACCGTCCCGTACAGTGCCGCGAGGAATCTCGCAAGATCGTGCAATGGCATTCCTTTGGTGGCGTACCATGTGGACACCTCGGAGACCACATGCTGCCCCACGGAGTCCTTGGAGTGCGCTGGCTGTGCCAAGTACTCTGGCAAGTGTGAGAAGTGCCGCGGGGGCTTCGTAACTGTGGCCAATCGCTGCGTCTCCTGCCTCAGCACCGTCGGCTGGACCAACGAGCTGAACCAAACCTGCGACGCCCTCACGGTAGCCGACTGTAATGACCGGCCGGTGAACGGGCAGAGCAACAAGCAAGCCTGCTGCCTTTGCGGCGGTGGAGTGAAGAGCCCCACACCCTTTCAGTACCCGGACGCACGCTTCGTCGTGGGTGCGGATGTAGTGCTGAAGCCACTGCCCCGCACTGCCGCGCGGTATTCCGTGAACTCGGACTGCGCCTTGGCAGCGCACAACCTCACCTTGGATGGCGAGACTGGGGCAATTTCCTACGCTGCCAACAAGTTGAAGCCTGCAAAAGCTTTCTCAGTGCAGTGCGAGGTTACTGCGCACCAGGACGTGGGCTTGGAGGAAACCGTCAAGGTCTCGGTCATCGTGGACAGTATGACCTACGGCTCGGGGGCCTTAATCTTCGACACGGTCACCAAGTACTCAGTGGCCACTGAAACCTCTGAGTGGAAGGACTGGGCTGCAGGCTAGAATAGGCTCAGCTGCGACATGTAAAGAGGCGACTCGTCCACTGCAATTAGGCTTGCGTTCAGTAGCGGGCGCCAAGAATATCCAGATCCAAGCACTTGCGCGCGTGATTGCTCTCGCAAGGACTTCAGTATGATTTGTGCTCCGGATGCCCCGTGGCTCTCCATTTCCGCGGCTGGTGAAGTGTCCTTGTCTGCGACGAGCATCGCTGGTGCCGTCACAGACACAGAAGAGGGTGAGAATGAGTATAAGGGTATGGATGGAGCTGTTTGCGTTGTGTCGGCCTTGCAGAAGTCGAACGATAAGAGTACGGATGAGGAGTTGCTTGTTTGTATATTGCTTCCACGCAGGACGAACTTTGTTGAGTTTGGCTGAAAGCCGTGTTGCAGCGCGGCCAAACTTAGGTTTGTGAAGCGCAGCACCACCTTCGCGGCCATCAGGCCGCGGCCTTGGCCGGCCATCACGTACGAGGCCAGCTACGTGGAGGTGGTGGTGGGTGAGGAGCTTCCCCCGATGAAGCTCCAGGTGCCAAGCGGCTTCGAGGCGGGCGTTGCTTCGAGCATCGAGTCACATCAAGTCGTGTCCAGTCGCACAGAGCCGCATTGCGCCGCATTGCAGTTCGGCAGCCTCAGGAGGGCATGGGTGGCCTCAAGCCGAGCTCTTTCCACATGTCTTGCGTTGTGGATGGCAATTGGAACAGCCCACGCCCTTCGCCCACCTGGTCCTTCGACACTGTGTGGGGTGTCGGCTTATTGGGGGAGCACTCCATCTTGGAGATCCTGGCGGACGGCACTATCTCACTCGCGCCAGCCGCCACAATGGCTAAGCTGTTTGACGGGGAAGATGATGGGATCCTGGCAGGCAGCCAACAGAGGAAGTCTGTTCAGCTGAGCTGCGGTGTGTGGGGTTCCTTCCCCGGCACAGATTTCCAGCCAGTCAAAACACCCCTGGTGATCCGCATCAAGGATAGCATGTGCTGGATCTCAGAGACAATCCAGGGCCAAGTGGTTCATGAGGTCACCATCCTTGACGAAGCCACCTGCCGCAACAACTGCCGTATGTCCAAGCGCTGCTCCCATTACACCTTTGCTCATGACAAATGCAAGCACTGGCGCATTCAGAATGAGGGAGGATCGCCAGTGACTGCTTTCGCAAAAGTCACTGACTGCAGCGATTTGAACACATGCTTGCGGCTGAAACATCCTGAGTGGGTTGTGGCGGGCGACTATTGCCCAGTCGCCTATGACTTCCAACGGGGAGGGCCCGTGTACCGCAAGGACGGCACCGTCAAGCAAGAAGTCATGCTTCCTGGCCCATATTTGTCAGCCTGCTTCAAATGCCCTTGTGTGGCTTGGGGATTCTGACACAGCTGAGCGTCGTGTTTGCTTTAAGACGTAGATGGCATGAGCGACAGACATGTTGAGGGAATGCGTTGGGTTTGAAGTGTTTGCTTCAACGCTGATGGAATGAGTTGAGCAGAGGATGTTTTTAAGGCCGCAACGATACTTGAGCATCAGGCAGATGTTTGGGAGACGGCATACGCACCAGGTCATCAGGTAAGCTGAAGCCCAGGTTTCTGAGCACCGTGCTTCCGGGCTCAACTTCATCTTGCGCAGTTGGCAAGTGGCTCGTGCAGACTGCCAGTGGGGATGACTTCGTCGACTCAGATATGGGCTACTTCGAGCTCAAGGGTGTCTTTGTTGCAAAGCGGTTGTTCGTGTCTAACGGAGTCTCTGGACATGCTGTATGATGTCATGCATTGTGCTGCTTTTGCCATGAAGGGTGTTTATCGTTGCTGGATAATTGCCGGATAGAGACTAAATGGGTGACCGCGCGCAGATGCACACACACAGAATGTAGCCACACAGACCCAGACGCACGGACACACAGACCCACAGACAGAGACGCTCAGAAACGAAGACTCCCAGACACACTGGTACTCGCCCAAGAGATACAGACACAGATGCAGAATACACACACACACACACACCCACCCACCCACCCACCCACGCACGCACGCACGCACGCACGCACGCACGCAGGCACGCACGCACGCACGCACGCGCACGCACGCACGCACGCACGCACGCACGCACGCACGCACGCACGCACGCACGCACGCACGCACGCACGCACGCACGCACGCACGCACGCACGCACGCACGCACGCACGCAAGCGCGCGCGCACGCATACACGCAGCACGCGCACGCGCACGCGCACGCGCACACGCACACGCACACGCACACGCACACGCACACGCACACGCACACGCACACGCACACGCACACACGCAATTCGACATGATTGATGCACACAAAACACAAAGAGGTGCTCAGGCACACACACACACAAACACACCAGTGCACCCACCCACACACACATGCACATGGACAGAAAGTCAGAGAAGGGCAACAGAGCAACACAGCAATACAGCAATACAGTAGCACATTCAGAAAGACGCATGGACACACAGACGCACGGCCACACAGAGCCAGGGAGACACAGAGCATCTGACGCAGAATATGCCCAAACAATGGCTATTGACGACCAAAAACAAAGAACGCGCGAACATGCGACACCACACGCAGAACACAAAAACGCACACACAACAAACAGAAACACATGCAAGCAGAATTAGCTACAGACACAGCATTGTCACAGCCAGGCAACGAGCGTGCTTGCCTGGATGCTGGCTTGCCGAGCAGCGGCACGGGTATGAGCTTGAACTTGGCCACGATGGCCTGTGGCAAGCCTCTCTTTCCCGAAGCAGAGGAGGACGGTGAGGGATCAAGGGAATCCCTGGGCCCTCAAAGTACGATGTTTGCTAGTTCTCCCAATCCGACCATGTTTCCTTGAAGGAACAACTGAACAATGTTCATTGCGACAACAAGCCAGTGCATTCGATAGATCTGGAACTCGAAGAACGCAGCTGCGTACTTGCTTGCGGATGCACTTGAACGATGTTTGCCGCAAAACCGCAAGAACCATAGCAAGATGGATGGCAAGCATTTGTTTGCTGCGACCCGTGAATTGGCTGCAATGCTCGATCGGAAGGTTTCACAAAAGACAGCCGCGTGAAGAGATGCCGGATGTTTCCAGGGACTATTTGGGTACTTGTTTGTATCAGTTTGGTTGCGTAGTCATCGTTTGTGGCGAGCAAGCGTTAGTAGGCTATTCCACTGTTCTTGTTTGCAGCTGTCAGTGGTGATGCGATGATGCGCAGCAAGATATGCACGCACGGCTGCACCGTTTGTGGCTCGAACAGGAGATGCTGCAGCCGCTTGTTTTCGACGACCCCAGCACCACACAGACTGAGGAGACTGCATTCAGGTCGTCAACGGGTTCCGCTTGCTTTTCGTGTTGTAGTCATAAGCGCTTGTGGCAAAGGAAGGCAGGCTGTTTTGGGATGTGATCTCTTTTGTTTCCTTGGTATTCTTCTGACGTTTAGCATTTGCCTGCTAGCGTCTCAACCAGCTCATTCAGAGTTAGTCTCAACGTGCCAGGAACTTGTCACTGTTTTTTTTGTCTCGGGCTGCGCACCCCCTTGTGAAGTCTGCCATTTTTGTACCCACACAAAGTATGTTTTGCGAGACTGGGAGCATTATCACGTCTGTTCAGTTGTGCTGTGAAGCACACTCCAGCGCATTTTCGCTATGTATGGTCGAGAAGGTGCTCACCATTGCACCGACTGCTGATTGCCCAACCTGTTGTTGAACCACACGTTTTCTGGTTCTGTCCCCCCCTTCGTGTTGTCTCAGACAGACTGATCGCACTACCTGCTGATGTGTTCTTTGATATCGGCTGGGCTGTCTCTCCCCCAACCTTTTGCTCATCGATGCAGAAATCAGTGTGTCGACCCACTGTCCCAAACATTCAAAAGCAGGATGCATGGTACGACAATCCATGACGCATGAATATAACGTTGACCCAAGGATCCAACATGTTGTAGTTTACTCCAACTGTTGGCGCGTTGTCGAGCGTGCGAAGGATTTCTGGCTTCACCCTTGTGACTGTCTTCCTTTGGAATGGGGCAGCGGTTGGCCTGCGGATGCGATGGCCTTGGAGAATATCCCGCCCACCAGCGACTCGGCACACACAGTCACAGCATCAGAAAGCTGCTCTGCCAGGTTGGGATAAAACAGGGAGACCCGTTGAGTTCTTTGATTTGAACCTGTGGATTTTACACGGGTTGCACTGCCGGCCTCGTAGCCCAGCTTCCTCTCTCATCATCAATCCGTCAACTATGGTGGTTCATTCCTGCAGTAAGTCGTAGCAGATTGAGGCCCAAAGCTGATCCTAAAGTTGATCCGACCGTTCGGGGGCATGCCGGCCTGTGCAGGCAACGGCAGCTTTATTCCTCCACCCTTCTTGATCGTCTCTGGGCAGTTTGCATGCCCCTCCCGGCAGCTGATGAAGGGCGCGGCCGGCATCCACTTCGAGTCGGAGGCCGAGAGCATGGAGCCCTCAGACTGCCAGGACGGCTTCAAGCGAGAGGTCGCAAGGCCCGTGCCTCGTGCTACCCCGTAGCGCCTCCAGGCCACCCGCTTGGGCGTGCACTTTGTAATCTCCTTGGAAGGGGCACGCCATGGGCGGTGATCAAACCTGCCAGTTTTGCCCAGAGCATTTGCCGGGGGATTCTCGGGAATGGCGTGTCCAGGAGCGATGCAAGGACTACGCTGGATGCCAGTTTTATTGGAGCGGTACATCCCACGGGGCCCAGACGTGCCGCCTCTACACTGGCTGTGACAGCTTAGTGCGGGAGTTCGGCATGGAAGGTGATTTGCTGGCCTTGCCACATAACGCCAGCTGCCAGGCGTGATGTTCCGAGCCTCGCATAGCTCCAAGCACCCTTTGTGCCAACTGGGTTTGCCCCTGGCACACGTGCAATCTTGGAACCTCAACTCGTTCGCCCTGTGAGGTGGCCAACCCCGAGGCATGCTGGAAGACCAGTCTTCGAAGGCAATTTCTGACGCAGACACAGGGCACCTCGCCCTCCTTCACGCGTGCGGCTGCTGTGGTGAATCCCGGCGGTACCAGGCAGGGCTGCTTGCGGCAGGCCTACTTTGCCTAAATGAACAGTGAGTGTTCCAAGATCGAGGCATTTGCGACGAAAACAAGTCTGTCAGGTCCTGGACAGGGAACTCTACCAAGGGCTTGACTCGGGAAACGACCTACATCGAGCCATTTGGAGACTTGTCCACCATCAAGCTGCTGGGATGGTCCCGGATGCAGAACAACATGGGCATCATGCGGGATGTTGCAGGCATCTCCTCCGCCGTGGTGCAGGGCTTGAACCCCAATAAGCAGTACAAGTGGTACATCAGGCAGCTCCCCAACACCAACACTGTGAGCAACAAGCTCACCGTGAACCATGGCAGTCAGATGACTTTGTCTCAGTTTTCCCGGCGCCGGTACTGGAACAAGGAGGGCACTGTGGCATCGACGCCGCGTGGTGAGATTCTTATGGACTTTGAGGCCATCGACTACCCGCTGAACTCTTTCGTAGAGAAAAGCGGCGCATCAAGAAGAAGAGCTGGCATCGCCTCGTCAAGCTGCCGAAGGAGGTACAGGATCACGCATTGCTCCTGCATCGCCGACAGTGGGGTCTGCACGGGCTCCAAGGTGTCTGGCTCCACTTGCTATGCGTACGGCACCACGGATGTCCACGGCACCACTGGCAAGTCAGCCTCGGTGCGGTCCCAGTCACAGTGCATGTCCATGACCTTCCTGAAGTCTCACCAGGTGATCACCAGCGGTGGTCCCAGCTTTAGTTTCCTGGAGAGTGGAGTGAACGGAACGGTGGCAGAGGCAGTGGCAGATGAGGCAGATGAGGCAGATGAGGACGACCGGGAGGTGAGTTTGGATGCTGTGGGCACGGCTCGGGACGAGGACGAAGAAGACATCGAAGACGAAGTGGACGTGGCGGACGAAGACCACGAGGGCCTGGATGACGAGCACCTGGGCGAGCTTGACGAGCACAGCGAAGCCGAGAGCTCTGATGCAGACATGGCCGAAGAGGACGAGGAGTCAGATCAGCAGCTGCAAAAACATTCAGATGGCAAGCTTTCTCTTTTGGACTCTCGGCTGCATTTAATTGCAGAGGCTGGCGTTCTATCTTAGGTTAGGCCAGTTCCTCGGTCAAATGCTCAGGAAGAAGGTTCCTCGGAGAGTGCCGGCACAGAGGGATGGCGAAGGAGGCGCCGCCGCCGCCGCAGAAGACGCACCCGTCGCCGCCGCTCCCGCCGCAGACGATCCCGCCGCAGACGCTCCAGGCGCAGACGCACTCTGCCCTCCTCGGTGTCCGCCTCCTGCCCCTCGGGTCAGCGCGTGCTGCTTCTTGAAGAAATCTTAGCAAATAGTGAAAGCTTGCGTAGGTCACTTTATGATGTTTGTGATTGGCTACTGCGGCCGCTTTTGCGGTTGCATGTTGCGGAATGGACATCCGGGTTTGGATTGACCATGCTGACCAATAAGAACAGGCGTGCCCAGAAATCTGTAAGGTCCTGCACGTGTTATCCCGACACTTTCTCGGAGAAGGCGCACACTTGGACAATCTCGCACCACTGCAAGGAGGTCTGGCTCAGTGGCGAGACGTGCCACGCCAAGGGCGGTTACGCCCAGGCAATTTGTGCTGACATCCCGGAGCCAGCAGCGCGAAGTTGGGGCACAGTCACGAAGAGCGGCAGCTATGCGTCCAATCAAGACTCGGGGCCTACCGCGCAGTGCTCCGGTGGCAAGGTCATGACAGGCTGCTGGTGCAAGAGCACCAGCGGTCGCGGGGATGGCTGTGCCCGAGTTTGGGTCGACAGCGGCAGCAACAAATGCTATGGAAGGACTGGTCCAGGCGCTTTTGGTTGCTTCGGCGTTCGGTTCATGAAATCATTGAATGTGGCTTGAGACATGTTGCCTAGAGGCAGGCAGATGTTCTGGAAGTTTGCTTGACTGTAGTAGCTGCAAGGGGAATCTTGAGAAGGTAAATATTGCATTTGAATGAATTCATTGGCGTGCGCAAGGAATTGTTTTGCAAGGGCTTTGGAAATAGATAGCCGATATCCGCTATCCAGAAGTGAAGGATCAGCCAGCGGATACCAACGGTCAGATAAGCCGCATGTCTAGTTGCGAACGACAGATCTCCTGTCCTGATTTGCTCAGTTGGCTCGATGCGCTTGGCGCATTATCTTTTGTAGGCTCCCTGTCACGATCACACTCAACGAGCTACAGCATCGCCATCACTGCCCGCTGCGTGGATTTGCGCACAGCAATGATGATAATTAGTGCCTTGGTTCTGAAGCATGTTAATAAGTGAGCTGGGGTGTGCATTCAATGCCTGAACATGTGGCGGAAATGCTGCAAACGTTGCATCAAAGGAGTCAGGGGCAACAATGCTGAAGCAGGCATTAATTCGGCAGTTGGCAGTATGTATGACAGTATGACACTTTGCGTAGATCAACATATTAGTTTACATGCGTACAGTGCAGTTCGTGCGTGAGAACGCACTGTGTGCAGTGATTTGTTCGAGGGGTCTGTAACAGAGCCACGGCGGACAGTTGTTACAGACCTCGGTGATTTTCCAGACTCTGGGTGATTTCCCATGTGTGCCTGCAGAGCAGACCTTTGCAGAGCATGCTTTTGCTGAAGAGTCAACATGAAGTCAACTAGTAGGGAGGTGCCGCAAGAAAACAAAATCCCTGTTTGTGCTATGCCTCGTTACACACCTCATTACGTTCATAGCCATCACAGACCTCGTCACCCAACCCCAGCCCGAGCCAGCGACCCCCTTTTTGCCGTAGCTTGGCTTGCGTTGAACACTTGCAAACTTTCCAGCTTTGCGTAATGCACTTGCGCAGAATAGTTGCGACTATCGAGCTGGAGCTCCACATTGCGCTACTGATCATTGTTAAGAGCTGCTTTCCCGTCACACACCTTTGTAACAAGCGCCCCCGTCACACACCTGCGTAACAAGATTCGCGCAGCGTCGCGCGTTGCGTACCCTAAAAACAATCACATGACAGCCGGCCACCGGGATACCTGCCTTTCTCTCCATCCCCTTCGTGGCATTTGCCTGCACGTAGACAACAAATAGCGGAAACGCATTTCCTTTCCCAAACTCAGGTGATGCTGGGGGTGTCAGCCGCTGGTCCCTGTACAGCCAAACACCATTAGTAGCTGGATGTCTTTTCTCCTGTCAATGGAAAAACCGTAGCGATGATGACAATGGTTATACGTCCCCAGCATTGCCTGCGTTACGAGGATGATTCCGCACCCCCAACATCATTTACTCATCACTGACTTGTTGCCAGCCTTCCCGTGCGCCTCCCCTTTTGAAGAAGGGGCCGGCGAAAAAGTACAATTTTGTGTCGTGTTATGTGTCATATGTTTGCATGCACATGTATGTGTAATTATGTATGGGCCATGCTGGCAAATGCGTCCTGGGCTATGAGTTGTTGATGGTCCCAGTCGTTTCGACCAAACCGGGGATATGTTGTGGTAGTTGAGAGTGTTTGGTGGTCCTGGATCCATTCCGAGGAGTATGCCAATATTGGCTGGATTTGATCGGGATGTCCCTGGTCGCTTCCGCTGTGTGGGATTGTACACTGGAGAAGGTCCCCTTTTCCTTGAACTGCAGAATGAGCGACGCATGGGAGAAAAGAAAGGGCCTTCAGCCAATATGTTACGTGGGGCGCAAAACAGACACAAATTTCTTTGCGCCTCTCGCACCTAATCCTGTCATGTTGGCTTCTTGGCGTTTGACCGTAGCCACTTGAAACTGTTAAATACCGTAGCCTAAAATGGTGTGTCGCGACTGATATTGTAGACCATGTCAAAGAGAAACTCTTCGCTCATCATCCTCTTTTTGACTCGGAGGGTTGTTCGTTCTGGGCAACTGGAAAAGCTCTGTACAGATGGCGGACACCTAGATGTGTCAAAAGGTGTGCGCAAAAGCTTTGTACAAGCGATGGATAGGCGGTCTTCGTGGTGCCGTTTCCGTTATTACTCTTTCGAAGTTCTGATTGACAAAGCTTGCATTTTCTTAAGAGGTCGGACGCATGCCCGAGGTGGTGAATGTCGCAGTCTAGTGCTTCTTGTAAATGCTATTGGTAGTGGCCGCTCTCGGATGCGCTGCCATTGTCACCATAACCGGCCCAGGATTTTTGATCAAGTCCTTCCATCCCTCTTTTTAATGTTTGGTCTTATGACACCTGGGAATCGGCGATGGTGAGCGTCTTGTCATGTTCGAACTCGTCCATTTGCTTGCCAGTCATCGAAGCTATCTCGTCCGAATGACTGCTGAAGGTTCGTTTTGCTCACCCGAGTGTGAATGCGCGCACACAACCCGGAACTCGCTCGATCATATCCTGATCGTGCAGTCGTGTAAGGGCGTGACAGATTCTATGCAGTCAAGACGGTCCTCCTAAGGCGATGCGTTTGTGTTGTTCCACATAGGTCTTGATGATGTGTAGACTTGCTGACGCCTGCAAAAACTGTTCACGGGTTTGCTTCCATCCGCTGTGATTGCATCGCGCATGTGTTCGGCGATGGGCGGCATGGTGGATTGTTTAAAACCCTCCCTCACTGCTGATGTTGGTGGCATTCTGTTGCAATATACTTCTGTTTGTCCTCCCAGACAGTCGGATGTTGGAGAGTCGTGTTCGGGCTAGTTGCTGTTGAGCTCAGTGCCGAAGTAACATCTGGAAACTCTGACGGCCGTTCCCCAATTCTCGGACTTGTCCGAAATGTAAATGTATCTTGCCCAAAGCTCGACTCTGGCGTGCTGCCTCGAAAGAAACGTACAATTGGTCTTCTGTGGTGACGAATGAACAGCATCATGAGCTCCCTTGACTGGTCCTCGTTGTCGTCACAAGGAATGCGTCGGCCTCGTTGAGACAAACGACGCGTGCGCTGATGCACAACAGCATCCTCGCGAGCGGCCGATTTGTTGTGGGCATGCTTGCGAGTTCCCTGCCATTCAACTTCGCATTCTTGGTGTAGTTTTCATGGTTCAACGTGAGCGCGTTGAGCGTCATGGATGAGGTGAACTCATTCTCAGGGCAGGGCCATGCTCGAGGACGGGGCTCCGAGAAATTCGCTGTATGCCCTGATGGGTAACCTGACTCCGTTTGGTTCGCCCTGAGCTCCTCAATGGTTGGAGCTGAGCTCTTTTCCTGGTCATAGAACTCTTCCTCGCATTCAAATCCCCACGCAATGACCAAGATTCTTTCTCGCATCTCTCAAGAAGCTCTTTGAGTTCGGAGCTTGACAAAGTCTCTCCCGATTGAGTTCCGTGCCTGGTTCAGGATCCGTGGAATGTCTTCTCTTCTTAGTCTTTGCGGGCTTGTCCTTTTCGGGTTGGTACGCGGGCGTGGAAACGCTGAGCGAGCCTTGGTCTCGGATTGCTCTGCATATTGAGATGTTTGCCCGTGACCCAAGAGTTATTCTGAATGGTTTGTCCTTCTTGCAATGCCGTTCTGCGACCGCCCCCCTGCGATCTTGATGCCATAGTGGCTTTCCTTTGCAAGCGCAAGAGTAACCATGGCATTTCGCCCGCCAGGTGCGTGCTGCAATGCTGCGCCAGATGGCTCTCATCACCAAGGATGACATCGTCTACGCGAGCCACATGGACGTGGATCCTGTCAGGCAAGGCCTGTTCCGGGCAAGTCCGTGTTTAGTCCGTGTTCCAGATTTTGATGGGGAACTCGCATGTAACACGAATGTCATCTCCTCCTGGATTGATCTTTAGATCCTTTTCAACAGCTAGCGGTGCTGGGCGACGAAGTCTGGACTTTGGCTGTGTGGAGCACCTGGATCTTCCTGATCCTTACAGGATCGGGATTTGAGCTGGCGTGTGTGAATGCTTGTGGTTGTGGAAGGTCCGTTCTTCCCACTGCTGATGTTCTGGTTGATCCTTCCACAAAGGGCGCCCCGTGGCGTTTAGTTTCGACGTGTCGTGTGTGCCCGCCACAGCGTCTGACGTACAGTTCCATCTCCTTGTCATTGACGAAATTGGTTTCGTCCGTTCGGAGTGCTATGTGTGCTGCTTGCTGTTGACGTTGTCAATCCATCGATGCTTCGCAACAAATGTTGTTGTTCTTCACTCGGTCGGTCCATCGCTGTCTCTTCCTCACGCAATCGCCTGCTTCACGATCATGCTCTTCGGCGTGAGCTTCAGCGGATTCTTGGCTCTCGAACAGTGGCTTTCCTTTTCTGATTCGGGTTCAGTCTTGTCTCCCAGTCAGATTGTTCGATATTCATGTCGGCGTTCTCCTCGGGATGCGGAATTGTTGGGCGATCGTTATCTGTCTGCTCCATGGGAAAGTCGCTGTTCGCTTCTCTTCTTCTTGAGGATCTCAGAGGGGATGCGCGTCTCTTCGGAGCGGATTTTGTTGCAGGAGCCAACAAGCTGGACGCGCGTGCCATCATGCTGTTGAAGAGAGGCCTGTCTGAAAACTGACGGTTCATGCAAGATCGCAAAAGTCGGTGTGATGTACACCAATCTGGCTGAGGACGGGGGCGCCAATTTCCTGAGATTCATGTAAGGCCAAACGCAAGATAGTCTCCACGGAAGCGGAAAATGAAAAAAATCACGCATCAAACTGACTGGGCGCGACTGAGTCACGCCGAAGTTCCCCAACAAGCAAACATGGATTCTGCTATCCCGACTCCTGCGAACGCAATGATGTCGGGTCGGTGGGTTGTGTTGTTAGCAAGCCATTCAACTAAGAATGCCTTGTTCTGCAACACGGCATGAAATGGCGAATGCGCATCAACATTCATGAGGTTGCCCGTCAGGGCGGCCTTGATCAGCTTGTCTGCTTAGCTGAATGCTTCGTCAGCGAATCTGCGAGGCAATCTTCACTTCGCACATGTGTGTTTTTGCTTTCCTTCCGCAACATGTGTGTCAAACGCATTGCTTCCTTCTGTTGTCGAGGCTGTTATAACAAGGTTGTTTGCATCTGTACGAATGTGAACATCTGCAGTTTCACCCGTACTCTCTGGCCAAAGACAGCGAAGGAAAGGAAATGAACGGTAGCAACGCATCAGTCCACACAGTTCAGCAACAGTTGTGGACATCAGTGTAGCGGTGATCTCATGCGTCTCGTGTTCCATCAGTGAGCCTCTCGAACTCGATGAGCCTTTGCAAAGATCTCGCTCTTCTGCAACAAAGCTAACCTGCGCACGTTGGGATGACTTGTCATCTTCGTTGTTGCGATAGGATTCATCTGCATAACCAACGATGCGCGTCTAGCCACACGGGGGCCAGAATCTCATGCCAAGCGGGATGCTTCTGATGGTTCTATTTGTTGCATTTATAGCGCGAACGTCAGCAATGGTTGGTGATGCTGCTCTGGATGCTCACCTGGAAAATTGGTAACCAATGTGGAACTGTGTTCGCGATTGAAACCAACTTGTCTGACCTATATGACATGACACTTCTGCTGTACGCAGTATGCGTCTAAATTGTGAGCGGAGTGTCATCTTTCAAGTTCTTGTCAAAGGTCATCTCCTGAAGTTCGTCAATAGCAACATTCTGATGAACGTTGTGTGCCAACTGTGCTTGTCGTCATGCTTCCATTGGACGCGTTGTCCGACGAAAAGGCAATCGTTCTTGTCTTCAGAACCGACTTGCAAATCCTTGCACGGTCGTCCCATGATTTCTTTCTCAAAGGCATCGTCGCCGGTCATAAGAAAATCTTCTACATGAAGAGAAAGTGCTCCATGAACTTGTCGATTCTGGGCATTGTTGCCTGACACGGGATGCATTAGGCAGTCAGCTTCTCCTTCTAGATCGAATGTGTGAAATGATGTCCTTTCCACTGATCCATGTCCGTTTCGGAAGGTGTTAACCGTAGTAAGCACATGCGCATCGATCTGCTCGGGTTGGCGCTCGTCCGTAAGATTGGAGCGCCGAATCTAGGATGTTCCACCATCGGCGGGTCGCGGGCGGAAATCCAATTCAGGAGGAATCTGACAAATGATGTGATTCTGATCGAGGAATGCTGTTTTTAAGTCCATGTGAAAGATGTTCCAGCCGGCGACCCACTCCTGGATGCAGCAGGACTATCTGCCTGCTGTTCATCCTCTTGCTTGTCGTGAGCCAGCCTCAGTCTGCAGGAAGTTGCCGTCCTTGCCTTGCTTGAGGAAGGACGCAGCGACCGGTGACCCAGTTTCTGACATTGGTCCTTGTGGGCCGATTGACAGAGGCGGTTCTGCATAAACACCTGTTTTCACATTTTGGGTTCAAACGGGCTCAAAACCCCGACGACCCCCGGAACAAACCCCCGGACAACCCTCCGGACAGCGAGGGCCCAAAATCGGCGGGACAACTTTCCGGACAAACGCTCGGACAACCCTCCTTAGACGGCCCAAAAGCCCGGGACAAACCCCGGACAGCTTTGAGGGCCCAAAAGCCCGGGACAAACCCCCGGACAAACCCCCGGACAACCCTCCAGACAGGTTTGAGGGCCCAAGATCCGGACAACCCCCCGGACAACTTGCCGGACAGTTGTTTGTCCAGCAGTTTGTCCCGCACTTTGTCCGGCACTTTGTCCCGCACTTTGTCCCGCACTCTGTCCCGCATATCAAGGGGGTGTTTGTGCAGAAGGGCATTCGTCAATGTATCGACTAGGTCGAACACTTCATTATCTTCATTATCAAGCCAGGATTGCGCTCCAGAAGGTTAGCTTCAGTAGCTGTTGTTCCTTTCCACTTCTTGCCAATCAGTGCTTATTCCTATTCTGTTGAGAATGAGATCAGGCGCTTGCTCCTTGATGATCTCCATGAGGGTGTGTCGCTGCTTGGTCATTACATCAAACCCGTTTCGGATATCAATGGGAGTCCCAACCTTTAAACCTGCAAGTGACTGCGTCTGGGTGGTAAATCTTCCACTGCTTGCTGAGGCGCTGCAAGCTTGGGATGCGTAATGGCCGTGAGGACGCTGGCTTAGGAGCCGCTTTTTTGAATAGAGATGACCCTCCAATTTCGGTATATCTCCCTTGCTTCCATCGGAACGAATCTTGGATTTGTCTTCCTGCCAGTAGAATACCTTGTCCTTCACCTGAAGAGGCTTTGAACTCATTCGGAGATTTTGAGCAAGGTCTCGTCGGATGTCTTCAGATTGACGAGCTTCTTGGAAAGCTTGTTTTGACAGCTGCTGAATCTGTCAGCTCTTCCTCGTTCCTGTCGATCGTCAATTGCGTAGTTGTCGCGACATCAAGCTGGATGAGATCTGCTGGTCGTCTTCCGAATGCAAGTTTCAGAGGCGTTACACCCTTGCAGGTGACAGTTCGATTCCTGGCAGTTGCAGCTGCCTTCACCAGTTGTCTGCATGTCGCCTTCTTGAGTGTGGCAGGTGCTGTTCCTGCGTTGATACAGCTGGGCATGATCTTCAGCTGTGTTTCCAGGGCCATGGTCTATTTGGTCCCAACCAACGGAGCAATAGCGAGGGACTTTCATGAAGGCTTTGCCTGCTACAACTGATTTGGGCTGCATACAGGTCAAAATTGGCCCTGAGGACAGCGACCTTCTCAGATTCACGTGCCTCTGCAGTGAGCAAAGTTGTTGCTCCATCCAGGATGACAAAAACAATGATATGTTCTGAACCCCACTTCTGTATGGTGCATATTTTGCTGATTGGCAAACTTTGCACTCATTTCGGTAGGTCGTAGGTTGATTTTGGCAAGTGAAGCGCACGAGTTCTCAATCGACATTGGTCGGTCTTCATGTCATGACGGATCTACCTGCTTCTTCGTCTTGTAGCGAACGAATTGTCTGCGAAGGTGAAGATGGTGTAAGTCGCAAATTGTCTTCAAGAATTCTCCGCCTTTGGATGCATCAATCATCTGAGTGGCACCCTCTCGGCTGACGTGATCAGGAGCAACCGGACATTCCTAAGTGTGCCCGGTTCGAGAGACATGGCAGTCTCTATGGCAACTTACTGTCTTTCTTGAAAACCTGGTTGTGGAGAAGCCCAGCGTTTGTTTCAGTGGAACAAAGGTGGCCCAACCCCAATTTGTCAACGTTGCGTGACACCGGCGCTCTGAGTTGAGGACGCCGCAGTCCGAAAAGACGTGCCTCTTCAAGGGAGCGTGCTTTGCCTGCGTGGGCCATGTGCGAAAAACCAGCGCGTGTTTCAGAACCTGTTCGGTAGACCCGCTTAGTATGTCGTCAAGATTATTCCGAGGTAAACTAGTCCAAAGCTATGGCATGTGAGCCATACCGGCCGGATTCATCTTGCCTCTCTGTATGAGGAGTTGCAAGGTGCCGATGCCTCCCCAGTCTGCAAATAGCAGGCTTTTCTACAAAAGATGTTTCCGCCGAATAAGTGGCAACACGCCATCGACTTGACGCCTATGGCTCGCAACCCAGCGAAGGACTATAAGAAGGGGGAGTTGAAGAAAGACGGGCAAGTCAAAAATTCCTTGATCGCTAGACTAGAATGATGAGCGTGCTGCCTTGATGCACTGTGACCACTCTTGCGTGCGAACAGTGTTCTTGCGGATTGGTTTCAAAAAAGCGGCTCCTGGCTAAGCCAAGTAAGTTCTTCACAAAGAGCTTCCTCGCAATTAAACGCAAGCATCTGTTTTGGCATGAGGCATCTTTTGCAAAATGCTGCGCACAAAGGGTATTCAGGGGTCATGTTGTGAAACCGCCGTCTCACCTTACCTCTTGAGCCGAGCGCATGTATGTTTGCTGGAAATATCTTTGCTTGGACCAGCTGGATTTGAATACCCCTGCTTCACGCAGAGCAATTACATGCATATCTACAATTGCGCTGAACTGACTAATTGTGATTGATTCCGTGTATTTCTATATATGCAGATATACACACTAGTTGCTTATCTTACCAATCAATATTGTTAAGATGTCGCAATGCTTCACTGCCTGCCGGCACCAAGGTTCATTGAAGATTGAATTGCAGCAGACCGGGTTGCTGCAGACTGATACACCCGTACTAGAAGCTCGTCAAGTGGGCCGCCTTGCGCCTTTGTCCTTCCACTACGCACACTTGCACCAGCAATGTGATTCGCTTTTGCTTCCTGGCGGCACTTGCTTAGTCAACCTTGTAGTCGATGTTGAGATTGTGGTTTATCCGCAAAACCCAGTCGCTGCAGTTGACTGCCGAGTGACTGCTGAGCTGCTGGTGTCTCCCAGGCTTATGGGCGGCCTTGGAGTGCAACATTGCGCGCGACCAAGCTACCGGATCCCAGCGTCCCACGCCTGGGAGGGCGGCTCGGCTTGAGCGCAAGTTTTCCATTGGCGTCCTGTGTCGGTGTGAGTGCAGCTTAGGCAAGCGCCCACTTCCTGTGAGTTTCGTTCATGGCAGCCAGTTGACAGCAAGCTGTTGGACGGAGCGGTTCCAGTCTTTCCGCGCTGCCCTGAAAGAGTCTCATGAGACTCTGCACTGCGTGAACGGTGATTGGTACAACACCTTGCAGGGGCCCGAGCTGACAAGCTTCGCATGTGCGCCTTGCGTGAATGTTGCGGGGACTGGCTACTCCCAGTATGCCAAGCGCAACGAACAGGACAGCCGCCTGCTTTTCACACTGTAGCATTGGTGATATAGGCACAAGGCCGCTCAAACAACCTGCCTTGTTGTAAAGTGAGGGGATACAGCCATGAGGGCAAGTCATGAGCTGGCATGCGAATGATTGTCAAGAGCGTGACAGAAATTGTTTCATCAACTTCACTCTTGCCTTGCATTGTTTCCACAAATGAATGCCCCCCCTGCCCCCAACAAACTGGAGGACAACCCCAAAACTATGCTCCTTGCGTTGACATTGGTCTAGGTGCACCTGTGCAGCGGGGGGAACCGCATTGTTAGGAACGCGAAGTGGCAATCTTTTCAGAACGCAAAGTCGTATATAATCGATTTTAAACGCGAAAGCCCTGGTGTCGTGGCTTTCTGGTTTTCCGGTTTTCTGGTATGCGTGATCTCTGGTTCCATGGTTCTCTGGTTTCTAGTTTTCCGGCATGTTTGCTTTTCTCGTTTTCTGGTTTTTGGGATTTGTGGTTTTCTGGTTTTCTGGCGTTCCTGGCTTTCTGGCTTTCCTGGTTTTCTGGTTTTTTGGGGTTTCTGGCTTTCGCGGTTTTCTGGTTTTGCGGTTTTCTGGGTTTCTGGCTCTCGGGTTTTCTGGTTTTCTGGTTTCGGGTGTTAATCTCGGTTTGGGCAGCTATTTTTGCAAAACGACATGATGCTTCTTAAGCACGGCGTTTCTAGAATGTGTTCAAAACTCCATGCAGACCATGTGTTTTCGAGCTTCCATATGATCTACTCGAAGTATGGCAGAAGACAACGCCGGCCAAATGCACATTCTTGTCCGTCAATTTGTTCAATGAAGTTTTCTGGAACAGTACTGCGCAAGCACCTCTGATTGGGATGCTACAAAACACGGTTTTTTTGGTTTTGCTGGACGGGCACCAGGTGTCCGTTGCTGAGCAAATGCACTTGAGCAGGTGCGCCAATCGTGGCAGATGTGGATTTTCAGGGTGGGTGGCTTTTCGGCTCTGGGCATTTGTGCCTTTTCCTGGGATTATGCGGCTTTTGGCGGTTTTTTCGGCTTTTTCGGCTTTGGTTTTTTCGCATCCTCTGCATTTTCAGTTCCTCTCTTTTTATTGGGTTCATGCGGCTATTTCCGGTTTGGCTTTTCGCATCCTTTCAATTCCCAGTTCCTCTCCAGCAGGCGGCTTTTTGGCTTAACTTTTGCGGCTTGTCGTTGGTTTATGCGGCTTCTGGTGGCTTTTATGTTTATGTTCATGTATGTAGGCATCTAGGTATGTAGGTATAGGTATGTACGTGTGTAGGTATGTAGGTAGGTATGTAGGTATGTACGTAGGTATGTAATCTATGTATGTGTGTGTATGTATGTATGTTTGTCCGTATGCACTTCTTCGAACGTCATGGGGATGGCCGCAGTGCCCAGCCCACCCCCCGTTTCTTGTTAGACTTTTCACTGAGATCAAATAACTACACCTAGTCGAATCATCACTTTTTGAACATCATGGAAATGCACCCCTATTTGAAGCAGCATATTTTTCGACTATCATGGGGGCTGCCCCCTGTGTTCTGTTTTTCAGACCATTGATCTCCCGCAACATTTGGCTCAAGGGCCCCTTTTGCATAATCACGACCATCCGAGCGTGAAGACAAAAGAGCCATTGCAGGCCGCTTACAGGATTATCCACAAGACAATCCACCAGGGACAATCCATCCTCCAATCATCCATTACTGGCAAATTGGACTCTCTCCGGAATAGATTCAGGGACCAACAACGACCTCAACTACCACACGGTTCCAGTTCCCTCCGCGGATAGGCACCTGGGGCAGTGGGCCTCAATTCGTGGTAGCGGAGCAGGTTTTCCGCAGAGATCCTCATTAGATGGAGAAGGCTTCATGGAAGCCTATACAAGTTCGGCAAAGCCGAGCTATACGGAGGAAACACTAAATCTATCGATGACCGCCAAGCAGCCGCCATCGTACGACGGAAAAGTCAGCTGGTTCAGGTATGAAGAACTCGTGGACGACTGGGTGTAAGCGCCAAAGAGAGGACCTCTCCTGAAGAGTAGACTTACAGGAGATGCATATATGTACAAGGCAGTCCTCCAAAATGACCTTTTGCAAGATCCTGATGAAGGAGTCAACTATTTCAAGAACACGCTGAAGAAGTACTTTTTGAAGGGTGCGACCAACGTGTATCTGTACAGACTCCTCAGTTTCTTCAACCATAGAAGGCAGAACCAAGAGTTCCTCATTTTTACCTCAAAATTCGAAATCCTTCTCATGAGATTGAAGGCAGCATGGATGGACTTGATGCCCGTTTTCACGGCACAGTCCCCATCATTTCGACAGTCCGTTCAGGACGCAAATGCAAGAACAATTGCTCGACATCAGCAAGCAGCCGGTGCTCGAGCACCGCCTCCAGCCCTGCTCAATGAGGACGATCCTACAGTCCTCAGACAGTATATCCAAGGAATGCAGGACAGACAGCGGGACGCATTTCCCTTCGGGGATAATCTCATTGCACAGTTTTTCATCATTCAAAGTGAGTTGTCAGATCAACAAAGAGAACGACTCACAAGTGCAATGTCATTGAGAAACATCTCACTCGAGAATTATTCCTATGAGATGCTGAAGACGCACTACCATGAACTCTTCATCACAACGAGGACATCGATCCAAGATCCATCCATCCGACCTCAAGGAGGCAACCGAAGCAACACATTCTTCATCATCGAACAAGGTGAATATGAAGGAGAAGAAGGCTTCTGGGTTGAGGATGAAGAAGGGCTTGAAGGATTCATGTCAAACAACGATGAAGAGACGTTCTGGGTCCTCGAGGAGAATGATGCGTTCATAGCAAGAAAAGTGTCGGGGCGGAACTTCAAGTTCAAGAAGAGAAAAGGAAAAGGAAAATCAGGAAACAAAAAGGGCAGTCACCAACGAGGTGGCTTCAAACCCTTCAGAAAAAGCGGTTCTGGCGGAAAGGGCAATATGGCCAACGAAAACTATGATCCCTACGACCAGGCATGTTGGGGAAAAGGCAAAGGAAAGAAGGGAAGGGAAGGAAAATCAAAATTCCAATATACCTATGATGGAAACAAAGGTTATCCATCCTATGAGAGTGGCAAAGGAAAGACCAACACGTTCGCAGCCACCGCAGACAAGACGGAGGAGCAGCTCGCCATCCAGCAGACTGCACCATCCACAGAGCCTACCTATGCCGGTTGGACAGACCAAGATTGGGACCAATCATGGACATGGAACAAACAACTCATCCCATGAGACATCCAGCACAGGACAAGCGTTAATGGCATTCCATGATGCATATGAGTATCCTGGGAAAAAGGCCATCCACGAGAAGCTGATCCAATCAGATACAGTTTCAGAACACAATCTGTCCGTCGCAACAAATCACAGCCTTTTGGCAACAAAGCTGATGGCGCCTGTCATCAACCCTCAGCACAACCCGACCTATGCGATTCTGGACAATGGATGTACCAGATCTATGGGCAGCTGGCATGCAATCCAGCGTTTTACCCAGGCAATTGAACCAATGAAGGACATCATCTCCTATGAGTACATCCAGGCCGAGACCAAGTTCACTTTTGCAAACGGAGAGACCGCCAGGGTAAATTGGACCCTGCATCTTCGATATCACACAACTCCTCCGTGCAGTACAAACATCGACGTCCTTGAACAAGGAACTGTACCGATCCTTCTCAGCATCAGCCAGATGCGGAACCTCTACATGACCATCGAGCACACACCTCAATGTGATAAGATATGCAAGACCTTTGGCATGAACCGTCAAGCAGTTCCAGTATCCGGTACAGGACATGCACTCGTCGATCTCGCTGGAGTTGCAAGAGTAAAGGCACATGGAGAAATTGCTCACAAGGGCCTCACCAACTATGTCTATGACGATGATAACAGCATCAAATTTCCCTCCGGGGATCTCACCAGGAGCGAAACTGTTTGTGCAGCAAAATCATCCGAGACAAAGGAGGACCTAGCAACTCCTAAGATCATTGGGTCTCAAAAGCAGGACCATTGGATCCTTGACAAGAAGAACAAGCAGCTCATCCGTGTGCGCATCACGCCCCGAAAGGCGCTGCTCACACCAAATGGAGCCAAGGAATGTCCAATCAATCCTGATCACATCAGCCGAGAACGTACCACGGAAATCATTGATGCATCCGCAGGTGGAGACCCAGACTTTTTGGAAGACAATTGGAGACTTACATCCCAGGCAAATAAACCGATGATTAACCTGTGGATAGGTAAGACCATTTTCACCTTCTCGGACAATTCGCTGAAGGACGTAGAAGCAGGTTCAGGATCGGCAGCAGACAGGATCATCGACAAGAGGGGCCAGTCGACTATTGAGCCAGATCCTTTCGCACCATCCTCAGAAGAACCAACATCGCTTCCGCTTGCCCTAGGCAGAATCCACAAGCGATTGTCAAATCCAGAAGAGTTGAAGAAACTCCACCTGCAGCATCATCACATGACAACAGATCAATTTCGATTTAGAACCCGAGCACTTCATTTGCCGAAATCAACATTCGATCTATTTGACAAGATCCGAAGTGAGTGTGAAGTTTGCCAAGTGGCGAAACATGCACCATCACGAAGCAAGACAAGCGGACTTCGAGCGGACACCTTTGGTGACATGACACTCATTGATCACTGTCAAGTTCCTCTTGGAACCGGAGAACACATCATTGTTTTTGTCATCCTGGATGGAGCAACAACATTGCTCACTGCAGAGGCAGTGACAACTACGCAAGAAGTCGAGAACATCACTGTCCTCAGGAACTACTTTGACCAGTACCACTTGCAGCCCAAATCAGTTGTCGCAGATCAAGCCTCAGGACAGATACATGGGAACATTTCTATCAGTCCCTTGACATCACTCCGATATCTTTGGGACCGAATACACCATGGCCAAATCGAGCTGAAGCAGCAGTTCGACTCCTGAAGGCACAACTCAAGATCATGCTGAGTTCCATCAAAGCAGGCACT